GAGAGAGGTAAAGGGGAGTTGTGGATTGAGACTGTTCATCAAAATAGACCACAATTAATGCAGCAATTTCTAGAATGATGGGTAATGGGGCCTTAGGATTGTGAAATTGCATCTAATACAATTCTTTCTTGTTATACTTGGCCTTTCTTTTGTATGTCAAAAGAGACAAAATAAAGCGTCAGAGGATGTAGATTTAACACATCCAGGGATCACAATTTTCCACTTCTTTCTATACTTTGCAGTTAATATTGTTTAAATTATATATCGATAATCTTAATTTAATACCTTTTTTATATAAAAAAAAAAGAAGAAGACTTTTTTTAAGCCAGAAGACAGAGGCACATTCAGGTTTTAGAGGCAGTTTGTTTAGAATGAGTATGATCTCATTTTAACCCGTAAAATTTGCCCTAGATCAGCCTCTACCTGCCAGGCCACTCTTTTCTTTTAGGGCTTACTAGGTATGAGGGATAATTAATCTCGGGATTAAATTTGAGATGAGTTTATTTATGTTTGGTTGGGATAAATCGTGGTATAACTTATCCCAGGATTGTAGTATTTTTTTATCCCTATAGGAGAGTGTGATCACTAATCGCAGGATAACTAATTTCGAAATAATTAATCATGGGATAACTTGTTTTGCAGCCAAACGACCCCTTAGGGTCATGACTCTTGTGAGAAATTTATCTCTGTTTATTCCGTATTATGTTCGACATGTGTTTCCCAAAATCTTATTCTAAACATCGTCCTCTTAGTAAACGAAAATAATCGTAAGAGAGTTCTGGAAATAACATGTTATGTTGTCTGTGAATATAAATTGGGGCTAATGAGAATGCCGAGACTTGGCCGAGGGTCTATTAGAAACAACCTTTCTGTTTTCACAAGGTAGGAGTAAGGCCTGCGTACTCATTATACACTACCTTCCTCAGATTCCACTTATGGGAATTCACAGGATTTTTGTTGTTGTTGTTGAGAATGTCGAGACTTGATAGGAGAATATGCTATATTTTGTCCCATTCTGGATTTAAGATTGAATGGTTTATAGAGTATAGTGAGTCATTGTCGAAAAAGGGAGTCAGAAAAAAGAGTCTTAGTCAAACTCATACATCGTGTGTAGTAGACTCTCATTAATATCGTACGTTAATCTGAATGTTTGGTTGTGGTTATATAAGTCACTTGACAATTGGACATAAACCTATAGAACAACAACAAAGTTAAACCAGCAAATTTCTTATTTGTCTAGAACGTGGAAGACAATCGTATAAAAGCCAATTTGCATACTAGAGATACCATGCAATATATTGTTGACAACAACATATCGAAATTGGAAGACCAATTGCACACTATGTGTGTTTTAGAAGTAAATATAAAGCCAAAATGATAAATCTAATCTTTTTGGCCAAATAGCTAATAAAACGCCTACTCTATGGACCCCCCCCACCCCCCCCCCAACCCCACCACCACAAAATAAGAAAAAAAAGAACAAAAAAAAATCTATTTCCTTATATACGGGAACTATTTTTAAATTTAAGTCTAGAACATCTGTTTAAATCATCTTATTAACATATTAAGACTACCATTTACGGGAACTTCATTATTTTATAGTAGCCAACGAAAAGGTCTATTAAATTAAATCAATATACCTGGTTAAAGCAAAAGAAAATGTTAAGCTCGCAGTGAAATGTCCATGCATTTAATTGATCTAGTTAATGGCTGTTACAGTCAAGGTATAATTTAACTTAGCTTGTTATAAATAATAGATCAGTTATTATTGATCAAATCTAGAGCAAGTTCACTGATCAGAGGAAGAAGACGATGGAAAACAGAGAGAATAATGAGCAGAAGAAAATGAGCTGCTTTTCATTGAATTGATCCGAGTACAAACACAATGTATAGCTCATAATATAACTACCACTAACTGCTACTGCTGCTTTAACTTAACAGCTATGTACAACTGTCACTACTACTAACTAACTGACTACTAACTTCCTAACTAACAACTTTTACTCTTCAACACCCTCCCTCAAGCTGATGGTTGAAATATATTTTTCAACCCTAGCTTGGATACAAGATAGTCATGTTGTAGCTTCCCTAAGCTTTTAGTCAGAAGATCAGCCTGCTACTCTTTGGTAGACACATCATTTGTTTTGACCATTCCTTGAACTATTTTCTCCCGGACAAAATGACAATCAATGTCGATGTGTTTTGTCCTTTCATGGAATATAGGATTGACTGCAATCTGAATGGCTGCTTTGCTGTCACAGTAGAGATCTATAGGCCACTGCGCAGTTACTCCTAATTCCTTAAACAGACAAGTCAGCCAGGTTAGTTCTGTAACAGTTGAAGCCATGCTTCTAAACTCTGCTTCAGCTGAACTTCTAGCAATAGTGTCTTGCTTCTTAGATTTCCAGGACACTAGAGCACTGCCAAACTTCACTAGATAGCCAGTAACAGACCTCCTAGTTTGTAGACATCCTCCCTAGTCTGAGTCACAGAAAGCTTGTAGTTTGTCTGATCCTTGAGCTGGCATTAGCAGGCCAAGTCCAGGTGCATCTTTAATATACCTTACTACCCTTAGAGAAGCTTCCATGTGTGAGTGCTTGGACTTGTGCATAAACTGACTAAGCACTTGCACTACAAAGGCAATATCAACTCTAGTCATTGTCAAATACAGTAGTCTACCAACAAGCCTTTGGTATGAGCCTGCATCAGTGAGTAACTTGTCCTCAGTAGCTTCATTATTTTTGACAAATGAATCATATTCAGTAGATGTCAACTTCACATTAGTTTCCAGTAGTGCACCAACAGGCTTAGCACCTCCAAGTCCCATTTCTGCAATTAGTTCTGGAGCATACTTTCTTTGACTTATGACAATCCCTTTGTCAGCTCTAGCAAATTCTATGCCAAGGAAGAACTTAAGCTCTCCCAAGTCATTCATTTTGAACTTCAGCTTCAGGTCATTTCTTGTCTTCAGAATCAACTTATTACAGCTTCCAGTTACAAAGAGATCATCTGCATAGAGTAACACCACAACCAACTCATTATGTATGTGCTTTATGAACAAGGAATAGTCAAAATGACTTTAAGTAAAGACTAGTTGTAGTAGTGCATCCGTCAGCTTCTTATTCCATTATCTTGGAGCCTGCTTAAGTCCATATAGAGACTTATGTAGTTTGCAGACTCTATGATACCCTCCCTGGCTAGCAACCCCTAAGGGATATCCATATAGACCTCTTCTAGAAGATCTCCTTGTAGAAATGCATTGTGTACATCCATTTGAAATATAGGCCAGTGTTTAGAAGCAGCAACATCAACCACAGACCTAACAGTCACCATTTAGTAAGCTCTTCTCCACGGCGTATTTTGACTCTTACCTTCGCTTCTTTCATTCGCTTTCTTGTTTTTGGCTCAAGTAGTAGGTCCTTCGACCCTCAAAGCAATACGGTATGCTCCATCTATGCTGTCCAGAAAAGACAAATGCAATTCAAAAAGTCAGCTCGAATATTGCCTTTTGTCTTCCTCTTTCACTCTACATCGTAGAGACAATAGGTGTGTCTGAGTTGCAGTCTTATGTATGTAAGAGGGCTAAGCATATTCTAAAGTAATATTCCTATAATGAGAGTCATTGTAGTGTACTATTTGAGTTAGTTCACTCTTTGCCACAGGTGAAAATGTTTCAGCTAATCTAGGCCTTCTTGTTGACTGTACCCCTTAGCCACAAGTCTGGCTCTACTGCTCCTGAGGTTGTGTACTTGACCTTGAACACCCATTTACAACCAATTGGAACCTTGCCAGCAGGTAGATCAACAATACTCCATGTCTTATTTTTCTCTAAGGCTGCAATCTCAGATTTCATAACTGCAATCCAGTTGGTATTTTTGACTGGTTCAAGATAAGTTTTAGGTTCCTCAATAGAAGAGTATGCAGCTGGGGAAGTACTGAATGAAGCAGAGATATGGTCATAGCTCACATAGTTGGACATAGGATAACAATAATAGACACTCCCTTTGCCTTGAGTAATATAGTCTTTCAGCCAAATAGGTGGCCTGCTGGCTCTGACTGACTTTTTTCCTGTGTCTGGTGCAGGCTGTGTGGGAGCATTGTGCACAACTCCATTGGTTATTGCCTCCATAGAAGCAACTGGTGAACTTCATCAGAAGGAACATGCATATCTGAGGGTGCAATAATCTCTGCATTGGTTGCTATGGTAGGAGATGTAGCTGGATTAGGGATATCTGCCCTGTACTCTGGACTAGAAAGAGTAGAAAAGTCTAGTACAGGAAACAAGGATGTAACTAGAGTATCCAGGTATTGAAAAGGAAAAAACATCTTCCTTGAATACCACATCTCTACCGACTAAGAAGCTTCTGGAGTGAATAGTATACATCTTATACCCATCTGTGTTATAGAGTAGCCAAGAAACACAGCAGGGACTGCCCTAGGAGAGAATTTATCTGCCTTCCTCAGATCAGTAACATAGCCTAGGCACCCAAACACCCTTACATGATCTAAGATGGGAGGTTTACCATGCAACATTTCAAAAGGAGTCTTAGATTTATCTTCGAGAGCTGATGTAGGCAGCCTGTTGATAAGATATACTGCTGTGAGCACACACTCACCCTAAAATCTGAGTGGAATAGCTGCTTGAAACCTCAAGGCCCTAGCTACATTAAGAATGTGTCTGTGCCTTCTTTCTACATCTCCATTATGTTATGGAGTGTAGGTGCAGAACTCTCATGAATTATGCCTAGATTCTGTAGTAGGTCTGTCATCTGAGAGTTTAAAAACTCACACCATTATCAGTTCTAAGAATTTTTACTGTGGAGGAGTATACATTCTTAACCATAAGAATGAAATTTCTGAGTGCAACCATGACTTCAGCTTCAGAAGGTAAGAGAAAAATCCAGATATACCTGGAGTGATAATCTACCAGAGTTAGAAAGTACCTTTTTCCATCATGAGTAGGCACTCTATATGGCCCTCAAACATCACCATGAACTGTATGAAAGCAACTAGTAGAAATAGTAGTACTCAAAGGAAATGGTAGCCTTGTTTGTTTAGCCAAAGGGCATATTGTACAATGTTTATCAGAATTTGCACTATCAATAGTCTGAAACACAAGTAATTTCTTTAGAACATCAATTGGCACATGGCCTAATCTCTTATGCCACAAGGCTACATTTATTATACCATCCTTCTCCTTTTGTATTTACAACAAGTGATGTTGAAGTATCCTTTCTTGAGCTGTCCATGGACTGCAGTCTAGTATTAGAAGTGAGCACAATTAGTCCACTATCTTCCTTACCAGTCCCCTTCAACTTGCCACTGAATAGATCCTGAAAAATACAGAAATCAGGAAAGAAACAGACTAAACACTTTACTCTTTTGTTATCTTTGATATAGATAGTAAGTTGTACTTGAACTCTGGGATATGCATGACATTAGTTATCATCTGTCCTGGGAAGATATAGGCAGTTCCTATATGCTTAACAGTGGCTAGACTTCCAGTTGGTAGAAGTACTTTTCCTTCTCTGAACTTATCACGAAGTTTGAATCAGTCAAGGAATTCAAATTTCTAACCATATGATTAGAGGCTCATGAGTCTACTATCCACTTAGTGAATTTAGAAGCATCATCAGTGACATCAGTAACATCATTGTCCATACCTGCTGCCATAGCTGCTTCATTACTTTCACTTCCCTTTCCTAGGAGCTGCAGAATCTGTGAGTATTGTTCTGGAGTGAAGTGAGGCACTCTCACTGGGTTACTCTAATTCTGACTATAAGATGCCTCTCCAGTAGTTGAGGTGCTTTTTGCAAAATTAGCTTCCTCCTGTTGGCCCAAGGTTTGAAGCCTTAACTGTGCTCCCAGTATGCACAATTTGACTGTCTTTTGCAAAGTTCCCTGCAGAGTTGTACTCCTTCTTTGACTTGAAGTGTGGTGGATAACCATTTAACTTGTAGCAAGTCTCTCTGGTTTGGCCTTTGAAATTACAATAGTCACAGTACAAAGTGTTCTTTCTTGTCCTAAAGTTGTTCATTGAATTAGGACCTCCTTTACTGGTGAACAAGGCTATGTTGTAAGCTCCACTGTTGCCACTACTGAACAAAGCTGTATTCTCTTGATTGTTAACAAAATATTTGTCTTGTACAAAGACAAAGTCCTTACATGTCAACATGAAATTCATTTGCGTAAATAAAATAATGTTAAAAATATTTCAGTACAATATGTGTGTCCATATATTGACAGCAAATCTGTGTGAGGACAGGGCCCTCATTGCACTAATTTACGTATAGGACATAATATCACATCTCTCCAACCATCTGATTTATATTGATAACCTTATCATCAATCAAATAACACTACCTAGCTGGTGGAGTTAATTAATTTCTCACTAAGGCAATTTTCTGTATCATATTTCAAAGGGTCCAATTTCACACTAAGGCAATTTTAATTTCCTATAGCATCTTTCAAAGGTCACTTCTGACATAAATATAGGACCACAAAAAACAGGTCCACATTCCATTCTTTCCTCACACACCTCAATTATATCATGAGTTTATATGATCCCCTACACCATTTACACCAACCAAATTAGTACTTCTCTTCCTACTCTTTGCAATTATTCATCTAACTTTATCATTTAGCTTTTTTTTTGTGTGCTCATATATCTCTTTGCCAATATGCAAATGAGTCATTCATCTTATAGTGTGTACAATAGCTCTACAAAAAACATGATAATTGAAGATAGCCAAATTAAAGACCAGCATGTGCAAGATAATAGCCATGGGAGTAGCAATAATTCAGATGAACTCAGTTTTCGAAACCTATCAAAGCTCATTCTACCTCCTCTTGGTTCCAATGGTTACAGCCAGAATCAAACTCAGCAGAAAGGCAAGATCATCACCCCTATGGATTCAAGATACAGGTTAGTACAAGTAACGAGTTTAACTTCTATATATTGAGTCCAATGAAGGGGAGCCTTGGCGTAACTGGTAAAGTTGCTGCCAACAGACCCTTGTGGTCCAGCCCTTGCCCGACCCTGTGCATAGCGGGAATTTAGTGCACCGGGGCTGATCTTTTTTTTGCTTTACTTTCAGATCACCTACCAAGTGGGCAAAACTCGTTTCTACCCATTGTAGACCGATATATATATTTTCATGGCAACCCTAAGAATCTGTTCTTAAGCGGAGAACAAAAAAAGGAGTGGCAAAACTAAGAAGAAAGAAAGAATTGAAGTTGTATAGATCACTTCTTTCAATTTTTGAGTCAGAAATAGTATGTACCAACTACTAGAAGATTTTGTGTATTAAATTTTTTTTTCTAGACCTAATAACTTAATTTAATCCTAATAAAACCTTTTTTTTCCCCTGGAAAAGCCTCTATTCCCAAGCCGCTTTACTAAGATTGGGCAAGTCTCTTTTTATGCAACACTATATACTATAGTGAAAATTTAACCAAAATTGAGACTCTTTTCATTGAGATTTATTACTTGAATATTAATCGACTTGGCGACTTGTTAAATTTAGGTGTTACTAATTATTCGAAGAATCTCGTTATAAGATTCAAAGGGACTTAATGTTAAATATCACGTTAGACATCATTAGTTATTAAAATGACCGTGGTCCTAAGGTAAATTATTTTAGCGGGGACGTAACTTTCGTAAGGACAGTGATTATATATACTATTAAAACTTGTATTTTTTGTGTATATATGCAGGTGTTGGGAGACGCTAATGGTAATAATGGTGGCGTATTCTGCATGGGTATGTCCATTTGAGATAGCATTCATGCACTCCAACCCAAACAGAGTGCTATACATCGCAGACAACGTTGTTAATCTCTTCTTTGCAATTGATATCATCTTAACATTCTTTGTTGCCTATATTGATACTACAACTCAGCTTCTCGTACGTGACCGGAGAAGAATTGCTACAAGGTACGTATTCTTACACGATTTAAGTAGGCATACACAGACAAAATATATACTAGTAATAATTTTATATCAGTATAATATAACATGTGATAGCAGATTAAGAGTTTAATTCTTAAAGTGACACTGCATAGACTTTTTACACCATCAAATTAAGTTGACATGCAAACAACGGACAATATTTTTAAGCAAATCGAAGGGACGACCCGGTTGGTTTGGAGGGTGTTGTCCACACGGGCGACGCGGGTTCGATCCCCTCAAGGTCTGAGCCTGTCGCACGGGGCTACTTGCCTATTGCGGTTTACATCCCCTGTATGGTTTGCACGCTATTACACAGTGGGGGGTTTACCCAGTGCGCATAGAGTGCTCACCACAAAGTGTTCATCCGAAGGGCAGAGACTGTGGCAGAGGCAGTAGCGACTGCGGGTTTTCCTGGAATTCCAAAAAAACATGAAAAATACAGTAATAACATGCTATATACTCCCTCCGGTCCAAAATAAGTGATTTTTTGGATGTTTTCACACAGATTAAGAAATTCACCTTTTAGCATTAATTAGCATTGGAATTGACCATATTAACCTTTACTATCTCACATAAACACTCCTAACACATATTCCAACACTATTTACTCCAAGGACAATGTAGGAAAAAAATAATTAATTTATTCTTGAAATCTGGAAAAATCACTTATTTTGGACCACAAGAAAAAAGCCAAAAAATCACTTATTTTGGACCGGAGGAAGTATCAGTTAAGTTGTATAGATAACAACTTTTTTTTAAAGGTGTTTGGTAAACATTTTTCATGCCATTTTGTTTGTCAAGTACCGAAAAAACGTTGGTTGGCTACAAAAGGGTAATTACTTACCCACATCGGGTGTTTACACCAAACTATATTAACTCACTATGGTTAATTAATTTAATTAGATGAGAATGCATGTAATTTACCATGGTTAAATGATTAAAGTCCATATGGAAGACATATGTCATATATCTATTGGTTTGATGTAAAGCGGATAAGTTTTTACCTTACAAAAGTCTTAACCTAGCTAGCTACCGATCGAGAATCACCCACAAACAAAAGCACTTAAGGATAGGTCAATCATTAGGAAAATAATTGGTTTTTTATATATTAACCCCATAAAGCAAATCAAAAAGGCTTTGTGGGTCCAAGTATACATCTAGAATGCATTTTTAACTACGTGGGGATCAAAATAACAGATCATATACAGATTCGTTGCTATATATATATATATATATATATATATATATATTATATATTATAATATATATATATATATATATATATATATATATATATATTATATAATATAGTATAGATATAGTGGTAGATTTATTATTAGTTGAATATATTTATGCGGGTTCAAATGATGAACACAGAAATCCATCAGGTTTTATGTTTCTCCCGCTCGTTTGTCGGTATAATCTATAGAATCAGAAAAGTCGTAGATTTATTCGAAAGTATGATTCAAGAATAGAAAGAAAGGTTCTTTTGTATTGCCACAATTTAAAATAATTAATTGACCCGTCTTCTTTTTCTTACGTTTTTTAAGGTTAAAAAATGTATAAAGGAACGTGAATTTTTAATTCTACAAAGATAAGATATTCTTCCTTATCACACGAATGAAATTGCGATGGCAGCAGATTTGATGCCTCTACAACGTCTTTTGCATAGTAAGAGTGGAAAGTCGCAATTGACTCATGATTGTCTTCATTTGCCAAAATTTGGTTGTTCAATGATTACAAGATATCAAAATCTATATATTCCTTTATTCTCTAACAATTTGACTTAATGATTTTAATTTAGTTAGATCCCCGGGCCCACCCCCCACTCGCCCACCCCAACACAAGATTAAATATATAGAATTAACAATAAACAATTCACAACCCCACTTTTGTTTCGCACTTTGGAAATGGGGTTAGAATAATAGTTTTGGGCTCAGTAAAGAGGAAAGGTGTGGTGGACAGACTAGATAGAATTTCAAAAAATCTCGCGAGGCAATTAATTAAGCCCAGCAACAATTAATGGATGAAACCATATTGCATAGCCTCCGACTAGTAACGCTTAGAGAGCAGTTTTTCTCTATTTTTTGTAATCGCTCCGCCAACTTGTGTGTTAAAAATCAAAGTTCCCCTTCAACTTTGAACAATAATCATTTTTCCCCCCTTTATCGTACACAATACCTTTTTTGCCCTTGAATTTTCAATTTCCTCCTCAATTCAATACTTTTTGTTATATGATATTTTTTATGGTTTTTAGCTATAACTGTAAAGTTATGTAATATGCTATTATAAATTGTATAGAGTTTCATTAAAATTATAAGTAGAATAATGAATGTAATAGAGTCCGTTGTAACAATTAACCTTATCATTTATGGTTGTTATTTAATGTAATGCATATTAACTATATATTTTAAGCTATATTTTCTTAAGCGACGGGAGCTTAGAAATTTAGTATAAGAGGATTTGAAAAATGACACGCAATTTTTTTTTTATTATTTTCGGATTGAACTTGTGAGCTAAGAAATTAATGAACTCTATTCTCTTAGCTCACAAATTTTAATTTCTTAGCTCGCAAGTTCAATCCGAGTTTTTCATATAAGAGGATTGAAAAGTACACCAAGTTATCTTAGCTCCCAAGTTCAATCCGAAATTAAAAAAATTGGGGTGTTTTTCCATCCTCTTATATGAATTTCTAGCTTCGTTGCTAAGAAAATATAACTTAAATATATATTTAATATGCATTACATTAAAATAACAATCATAAAGATAAAGGTAATTTTAATTGACTCTGACTACTTATTCTACTTATAATTTTAATGAACTCTAATTA